GGGCGATGCCAGGGTTTGGGGGCGATGCAAGGCAAAATCCCCGCCCACAATCGCCCCCGCTCTCGCCGTGCAATGCAGGGCTGCCACCCCCGCGCCCAGCAGCGGGCTGAGTCCGGGCGGCTGGCTGGGCCCAGAGCCGGGAGCGCGGAAAGGGGGAGGAGGAGGGAGCCCCCGACCTGGCCTAGGTGCAGCACCGCGCCTAGGCCCTCGGCGGGGAAGGGATCTTGCAAGACTATCCGGGCCGGTTTCTCAACCAGGGGATCGGGACCCAAAAGTGGGGTGAGGTCCTGAGCAAACTTTGCAGAGCGATTCTCCTTCAAAGGAGAGCAATATGGGAAACTTTCCTGGTTGCAGTCAGTTATTTTGTGAGCGCTAGGTTTTGTACTGTGAAGTAGTAAATTATAAGTCTCTATTTACTTCCTCTTTGCCATTTAGGATTTGGATCAATCTTCTCATGCCTCCCGGTGTGGGGGCAGGGTGAGGTGCATGTGGGGCAGGGGACCCAAGCAGCCTGGAGCTCTGCCATTTTGTGGACCTGCTCTGGTTCTTCTATACAGGTAGTCCTTGACTTACAACGTTTCAAGTTACGTTTCATGCTTAGTGTTTATAAATTGACACCCTATTTCAACTTTCTGACCTCTTTCGACTTTACAACACTTGATCCGATACGTTGCCATCCCAGCGAACAAGTTCGCTGCGTCGCTCATCTCCCTGGAGAACACGTGTCCAAACTTCCTTGGACACTTTCTTTAAGAAAGCAGACAAGACTCCAGAAAAAACCTGCAGCCAAGACTCCTGAGAAGACTCCAGCCAAGAACCCTGTAAAAAGTCCAACCAAGACCTCTTCAAAAAATCCAGCAAAGTCACTTCAATGAAGTTCTTCCAAATCAATAGGATTGCTATTTACAATTTAAATACTTTAATGTAGCTATATTACTCATCTATAATTGGTCGAGTACAAAATTCTAGGGTATTTTTAGTGAAAATTGGGTATCAGGCCTTGGTTCAGGAACCAATCCCCCATTTATAACACTGTTTCTTATGAGAAAATTGGTTCCGAGTTACAATGCTTTGACCTAAGACAGCTTTCAGGAACCAATTGTGCCGTAAGTCCGAGGACTGCCTGTATTCTTTTTGAGGTGTGGGGACCAGAACTGGGCACAGTATTCGAAGTGAGGATGCACTATTGATAAGCACCCCTTGTTTCAGGGGCACCTGGCTAAACCCCTAGGGACAGAGGTAGGGCTGGAAGCCATGTCCAGCAGAGATCCCTTGAACTCTTACTATGCATTTTCTACTTCAGGAACAGCTTTGTGTTCTGAAAAAAGTATTTTATCTAACCAAGGGCATACAGTAGGTTGTTTAGGCTGGGGGAGATCGCTTGTTGCTTAGTTGTTTATAATTGCTGGCCTCGCTAGAGGAAAAGCTGTATCAACAAAGTTCTGGAGCTGGAAGGGGGGTTACTTGCTGGGCTTGCTACACATTTCATCACATCAGCAAGTTTAACCTGTTAC